CCCTTAGATACTGAAATGTGTTGACTGTTTGCTCTGTGCCAGGCACTCCTAGAGTGTCACTGTGAGGTCAGTTCTGTTGTACCCCTGTGTCCCAGATGAGGAAACGGGGAGAGGGATGTTGCCACATATGACACAGCCATGGGGACATGGAGGCAGAATTTGGGCCCCGAGCCATTTGCATCCCACCTGAGGTCAGAGGTGCCCAGCCTGGTACCTCTGTTTATGGAGCATCACCTGTTCAGCCCCGGAGCCCCTGTCCTGCTCACAGGGTGCGCACAGCTGTGGGTCTGTATGGTTTTTGGTTTGACTCATGTGCTTTGCCCACATCCAGCTCGCACTGCAACACTCAGGATGCTGGTCGGGTACAGCATGGAGCCTTGGCCTTGGTTACCAGCAGTACTGTTGGAGCTCTGCCTTGGGGGCCAGGGTTCCCAAAGGCCCTCACTCCTCAGAGTAGGGGGCGGGGTCTGGTAGAGTGTCAGGAACTCCAGCCCTTCTGAGAGAACGCTGCATTCCCACTGCACCTAGTGGTCCACGCGGTGCTGCCTTAGACTCTCCTGCCAGCCCCAGCCCTGAGTTCTCGTCCATGGTCATCGAAATATTGGTCCTGAAGTAAAGGCCACCTCTACTCAGCGCCATGTTTCTCAAAATGGAGGCTTTCACCTTGCACAGTAGACAGGCGGGGTGCAAGGTGCCGCCTTCACTGTCTGACGGGGTGCGTTCCCTCCCCAGGACCCTTACTTCATGAAAAACCACCTGGGCTCCTACGAATGCAAGCTCTGCCTGACCCTGCACAACAACGAGGTATGTTCTCAGCTCTGCATCCCTGCCCGTCCAGCATTCCATCCCAGTGGCCCTGCCGGTCCAGCCAGCCCCGGGGTCCCGTCCAGCTCGCAGGGCTCTCAAGATCTCAGTCAGAAGACGAGAGGGTAGGTGCTCTGGCCTTGGCACACCGCGCAAAGCGCCGCTCAGTCCCTTGAGCACGGGCTTCAGAGAGCATCTCTGGGAGAACCACTGGCCGTACCAGAGGAAGGCTGAGTCCCCCCAGTCTGCGTCCTGCACTCGCAGTCCCCGGAGACCAGGGCAGCCTTGCGATGTGCGTGTGCGTCTGTGAACGCGGCATCCACCCAGAAACCACCTTGTGCTTCTGAGATCCCATCAGTCTGTGGGTCCAGTTGGTTTCTCTTAACAACTGAGATGGCCTGGACGCATGCTTGGGTTGGGTTAATTCATGCAGCAACGAGTCGTTCTCGCTCACCGTTTCCACGCTGTCCGACACTCCATTTGTCACAGCCACACGACAGGTGGTGCTAGCCTGGCCTCTCTGTATGCCCAGGCTCGTCTCAGCACTGCTGACACTGGGGCTGGTTGTCTCTCTGGGGAGCTCTCCTGGGCACTGTGAGGTGTGGGTAGAGTCCCTGACACACCCACCTGTGAAGAGCACACCCAGCGTGACAGCCACAGATGTCCCCATGTCCAGTGTCCTCTGGGCAGTCAGAGCAGTCCCTTCGTTGGGAACCCGACACGTTTCATCCTGTCCTGCGGGAGAAGTTCCCTGGAGTCAGGTCAGCGCCAGCAGCCATTGCCAGGTGTCCTCAGCTTGGCAGCTCTGCTGGCTCCTCTCCCTCCGGAGTGGGGTTGCTCCACGCCTGCGTGCTGACACCCGGCACCTGAGACGTCATCGTCGCAGGCTCCACGTCCATTTCCTTCCGCTCTGTGTGGTTCTGCTATGGGGGTGTCCAGCATCAGGTCCCAGTCACTTGTCCCTGTGGACAGAGGCCAGCTCTGTGGTCCTCGTCCCCATAGGTGTGACAGGGAGATCTGGCCAGGGGCATCCAGCCCCCTGCTCATGTCTTCTTGACTGTGGCTTCTTCCTTCTCCAGGGCAGTTACCTTGCACACACCCAAGGGAAAAAGCATCAGACTAACCTGTGAGTACCTCATCCCCTTCCAGTGCCCAGTGCTCCCTCCTCGCTGTCATTCAAGCCTGGGCCCCATCCCCCTCTCACCTCTCAGACAGCTCCAAGGCTGGTGTGGGGGTGAGGGCTGGCTCCCAGCACCTGGACTTGTGGCCTTGGCGCCTGTGGAGAGGCCACAGTTCCTTTTTCATCCCACCTGCAGGGCCCGGCGAGCGGCCAAGGAGGCTAAGGAGGCCCCTGCCCAGCCGGCACCAGAGAAGGTCAAGGTGGAGGTAAAGAAGTTTGTGAAGATCGGCCGCCCTGGCTACAAAGGTAAGCCTGTCTGGAAGCAGCTCCTACTTGTGGGTCCCCACAGCCCTGGAACCCATCCCATCTCGCCTTGGGCCCCATCTTCTTGACGTAGACTTTCCTTCAGGCTGTGTTTCGGGTGTCACAAAAGCTCTTAATTCTTTCTGCTCCATGTGAAGATGAAGGGGGGAGAGGGTGCATCCCTTTCCTTTGACCCTGGACCTGGAGACTGGCTCCCCTTTACCCTGAAAGAGAGAGGCAGGGCAGAAGAGAGGCTATGTTGGCGGCACCTCGAGGAGGGCCACCTGATTCAGAAGCTGGCTGACCCAGCTGGAATACAGGACACGGTTGCTGGGAATTAGGAAGGAAGGAAAGCCCCTGGCAAGTGCTCCTAATATGGTGGGCACGTCCTGTGTGACTGGCGTCCCAGGTCCTGAGGTGGGTACTTGATGAGCTCGGGCTAGCAGGGGGCGCCCACCAAAGATGGCCACATTAGGCCATGTGGTCTGTCTCAGGGGTGGTGCTGGGGGGAAGGGGTGGTTCTGGTTTGGAGGACCTCAGGGGTGCATGGCCTGTCTAGATTGTGGAGAACAGCTGGGGGCCAGGTGGTCACTGACCAAGCCACTGAACTTCAATACAAAGGGTACTCATTCCTGGAATTGGGGGACAGATCTTGCTTGCCCCACATGCCTTGGTGCTGTCCCAGGCTTCTGGGGGTAAAGGCCACAGAGAACCCATATTCCCACCCCCCGTACCTGCACCACCGGCTGACCCCCACTCCAGCCCAGCAGGAACACCTTCCTGCTGCGATAGTTCCACTCACCCCACCAGTGCCTCCCCAGTGTCAGATCACCTGGGGCCCCTGAGCTTCAGGTGTAGAGTGGCCTGGACTTAAGACCCTTGGGTGTTGCAGTGACGAAGCAGAGGGACACGGACATGGGCCAGCAGAGTCTCCTCTTCCAGGTGAGATGGGGCCTGGTCCGGGCGTGGGGGGGGTGGTTTTGGACCCCCATAAGGTGCTGTTGCCACTGTCTGTGTCCCTGCAGATCGACTACCCTGAGATTGCCGAGGGCATCATGCCCCGCCACCGCTTCATGTCCGCCTATGAGCAGAGGATCGAACCCCCGGACCGGCGCTGGCAGTACCTGTTGATGGCTGCTGAGCCCTATGAGACCATTGCCTTCAAGGTAGCCCTGCGGGAACTCCAGCCACTCGTGCGCCCCTCCTGTCAGGCCTCTGCGTCTGAGGCGTGTAGAGGGCACGAAGGGGGAGGTTTGAAGGCATTACTTCAGCAAGGACAAAGCGGCACAAAGTGCACTTCCCCAAAATGCGACTTGTCCCCTTTTAGTAGGGCCGCCTCCTCCTGTGGATCCTCTCTGGGGCAGGGGGGCAGCCCTAAAGATCCCCTTTGCCCTGCTCACAGGTGCCCAGCAGGGAGATTGACAAGGCTGAAGGCAAATTTTGGACTCACTGGAACCGGGAAACCAAGCAGGTGAGTAGTGGCTCTGGGTCCAGGGCCTTCCAGTGGCCACACTGCCCCTGCCCAAGGCCTGGAGGGTTCCTGCTCATTCTGTTCTTTCTCCAGTTCTTCCTGCAGTTCCACTTTAAGATGGAGAAGCCCCCGGCCCCTCCGAGCCTGCCTGCCGGGCCTCCTGGGGTGAAGCGGCCCCCACCCCCGCTGATGAATGGCCTGCCCCCTCGTCCCCCGCTACCTGAGTCTCTGCCTCCACCCCCGCCGGGAGGCCTGCCGCTGCCACCCATGCCCCCCAGTGGGCCCGCTCCTTCGGGGCCCCCAGGCCCTCCCCAGCTACCCCCTCCTGCTCCTGGGGTCCACCCCCCTGCTCCAGTAGTCCACCCTCCAACCTCTGGAGTCCACCCTCCTGCTCCTGGGGTTCACCCCCCAGCACCAGTGGTCCACCCACCCACTTCTGGGGTCCACCCCCCTGCTCCCGGTGTCCATCCTCCAGCCCCAGGGGTCCATCCGCCAGCCCCAGGGGTTCACCCTCCCCCAGCTGCTGGGGTTCACCCCCAGGCTCCAGGGGTGCACCCACCCGCTCCTGCAGTTCACCCCCAGGCTCCAGGGGTCCATCCACCAGCTCCTGGGGTTCATCCACCAGCCCCAGGGATCCACCCCCAGCCTCCTGGGGTCCATCCCCCACCCCCTGGGGTCCACCCAGCAGCTCCTGGAGTCCATCCTCCAGCTCCTGGGGTCCACCCTCAGCCTCCTGGAGTTCACCCCTCAAACCCTGGTGTACATCCCCCAGCCCCCATGCCCCCAATGCTGAGGCCCCCACTGCCCTCCGAAGGCCCTGGGAATATTCCTCCCCCTCCCCCCACCAACTGAAACGCTCCTTTCCGCTGCCCCCAAGCAAGGCTGGGCTTTTTTTTTCCCTGTGTTTTTCCACGAAAAAGTGTTGGTGCCTCAGAGCCCATTAAACAGTTACCCGCTGCCTGGATGGTTTGCTGTGTTGGAGTCAGAGGGGGAGGTGGGGGGGGAACGGGGCTGGTAGTGCTTCAGGGCCTGGGCAGGAAGTTGCTGACTGGAGAACAAGCCCTGCCAGCAGGGGCAGGGAGGCAAGCCGAGCCGGTCAAGGCTCCCTGCTGCTTGGCTTCCGCAGCCTAGGTGCTGGTGCTCCTGCGCCCCGGCCCACCCAGCAGGCTGAGGAGCAGGTGGCTGCCCTCCAGCTGGGTCTGCCCACCTACCCAGTGGTAGGAACAATGGGGCTGGGGCCTTGCACCCCCAGGCCCACCTGCCTTGCCCCCAGGCGTGTTGATAGCCGCTCCATTCCCAGCCCTGACTGCAGGAGGGAAGGACTCAAGGACGAGTGGGTCAGTAGGCCGGGCTCTGTATCGCTGCTGCTGCCGAGATAGGCTGCCCTGGGGAACAGAGGGGCTTTGAGAAGGCGCCTGCAGGGTTCACAGTGGGGCTCTGGACCTCAGTCCCCCAAGGTCACATCCCAGAGGAGATAGGGCTGCCTTCTCACGCACACATTCCAGCTCAGCCCATATAAGTTGGGGCTCACGGCCCCTCACAGCACCCACCATGCAGGGCTTGCATTTTTCCCTGTTGGCCCTGGTGCTGTTGGCGATGGGGGCTCTGTTGGGGGCTGCAGTCCCAGAAGAAGCGGTGTCGGGGGCCCAGACCCTGTCCCAGGAGCCAGCCGTGGACACCGGGGGTCTCATCTTCCGCCAAGACTGGGACTGGCCTCCTGGAGGCAACTGGCTGCCAGACCACTTGCGGGATCCCCTGTGCCTAGTGACACTGGACCCGGGCAGCAATGGCAGCAGCACCCCCCTCCTGCAGGTGGTGGGGGTGCCAAGCAGCTATGAGCAGGCCTTCCTGGAGGCCGTGCAGCAAGCCCACTGGGACCCGCATGACCTGGCCACCTTCGGGCTCTGTTCCCCCGGCCACAGGCAGGCAGCCCTGCCATCTCTACAACGTCTGGGAACTTGGCTGGGGGCACCTGGGGGGCAACCGCTGGTGGTCCTGCACCTGGAAGAAGGTAGGTCTGGGGCCCGCTGGCAGGGATGGTGGTGGCCGGGTGAGTCTTGCTGTCATTCTCAACAGCTCCTTCAGGACACCACGACCACCCTCCTGCCAGGTCAAATGGGGCTGGCCCCACCCCAGCCTGCTCCCTAGGCTGGGCTGCCAGTCTGTGACCACGGAGGTGGGCACCGTGATCTTTGCCATCTCTAGGCCGGGTGCCCCCAATGCTCCTCTTGCATGCCCCCTTCGCACAGGAAGATATGGAGCTTGTAAAACCTCAGGGTTCCCCGAGGTGTGCCCCTTTCCGCACACAAGGCAGCAGGGGTGGGAGGTTCCAAGGGCCTTGGGAACCCACTGCCAGGGAAGGGGCTACCCAGAAGACCCCCATACCGACCCCAAGGGCTCAGGGATTGCCGGCACTGTCTCACTGCATACGTTTCTCCTCCAGGGCTGCCCCTGTGCCCCGCAGCCCTCCAGGCCCTCTCACCAGACTCTCCAAGGCATGCTAGGGGGTGAGGGGGGCTCCCTACAGGACTACCTGATGTGCTTAGGGGAGAGACTCAGGCGTCTGGTTCACATGTCCCCCTTACCACGTCCTGTCCCTGCTGCAGTGACATGGAAGCCAACACCCTCCCTGAGGTTCCAGGAGCCCCCACCTGGAGGACCCAGCCCCCCAGAGCTGGCGCTGCTGGTGCTGTACCCTGGGACCGGTCCCGCGGTCACCATCACCGTGGCTGGGCTGCCTGGCACCCAGGTACTAGGGAGTTGAGGGGGCAGCGGGGGCACCACTTGGAGCCCTCAGCATAGGGGAGGGAATTTGAGAGGCGGGCTTCGGGATGAGGCTCCAGCGCCCCGGTTGCCCGTCTCCACAGAGCCTCTGCCCTTCCCGGGACACCCGCTACCTGGTGCTGGTCGTGGATGGCCCCGCGGAAGCCTGGCGTGGCCCTGGGCTCACCCTGACCCTGCGGCTCCGCGGAGACGGTAGGGGGGCGTCAAGAGGGGCCGGGTGGGGCTGGCCGCCCTTGTTCCCCAGCCTGAGTCCGTCCCTGGCGCCCCCCAGTAGGTGTCCCCCTGAGCATCGCCCAGCTGCAGGCGCTGTTGTTCGGCGCCGACCCCCGCACCTTCAGGCGGATGACGCCGGTCCTGCTCCTGCTGCCCTGGTCCAGGCACACGCCGCTCCCGGCGCACGGTCGGCTGGACACCGTGCCCTTCCCGCCGCCCAGGTGCGCGCCGGCCCCGCGTGGGCGGGGAGGGTGGGGGAGGACGAGGCCCAGCGCCGGCTCACGACCCCGCCACCGGCGTTGCAGGCCGTCCCCGGAGCCTGAGGAGCCACCGCCGACTGCCGACCCCTTCCTGGAGACGCTCGCGCGCCTGGTGCGCGTGCTGCGCGGGGCCCCGGCCCGGGCCTCGCCGCCGCGCCTGGCCCTGGACCCGGGAGCGCTGGCCGGCTTCCCGCAGGGCCTGGTCAACCTGTCGGACCCCGCAGCGCTGGAACGCCTGCTCCACGGCGAGGAGCCGCTGCTGCTGCTGCTGCCGCCCGCCGCGGCCGCCGCCGGAGGCCCCGCGCCGCCCCCCGAGCCCGCGTCGGCGCCGTGGGCCGCGGGTCTGGCGCGCCGCGTGGCCGCCGAGCTGCATGCCTTGGCCGCCGAGCTGCGCGCGCTCTCGGGGCTGCCGGCGGCCGCCGCACCGCTGCTGGCGCGGCTGCTCGCGCTGTGCCCGGGGAGCCCGGGGCCCCGGGCGGCCCGCTGCGCGCGCTGCTGCTCCTGAAGGCGCTGCAGGGCCTGCGGGCCGAGTGGCGCGGGCGGGAGGGCGGCGGGCCCCTGCGGGCAAGGCGCGGCGCGGCGGCCGGGGACGGGCCCTGCGCGCTGCGGGAGCTGCGGGTGGACCTGCGCGCCGAGCGCTCGGTGCTCATCCCCGAGACGTACCAGGCCAACAACTGCCAGGGCACGTGCGGGTGGCCGCAGTCCGACCGCAACCCGCGCTACGGCAACCACGTGGTGCTGCTGCTCAAGATGCAGGCGCGCGGCGCCGCGCTGGCGCGCCCGCCCTGCTGCGTGCCCACGGCCTACGCGGGGAAGCTGCTCGTCAGCCTGGCGGGGGAGCGCATCAGCGCGCACCACGTGCCCAACATGGTGGCCACCGAGTGCGGCTGCCGCTGACGCCCCCGCCGCGGACCCCGACCCGGCGGCCAGGGGGCCCCGCCCCTATTTATTCCGAGCCGATCGATCAATAAAGCCCAGCAAGCTCCGCTGCGGTGTCCCGGTGTCGCGAGCCGGTGGAGGCGGCGAGGGCGCGGGCTCCACCCGACGGTGCTGGGGCGCAGGGCCGGGTCAGGCCCCAGGCGCCCACAGCCCGCCCCGCCCGCCCGCCGCTCCCCATCCCGGTCGGGGGCCTAGAGCGGCTCCGGGGCCGGGCGCGAAGGAGCAGGCGTCGCGGGAGCCGCTCACCGCTTTATTGTGCTGGAACCTCCGACGTCGGGGACGCGGCGGGAGCTCGGCTCAGCTCCTCCCCCTGCCGGGGCGGCGCTTCTGACGGCCCGGGGGCCGGTCCTCCTCCTCCGAGGCCCACGCCGGCCTCTTCCTGGGCCTGCGGTCTCCGGAGCCCCGCGCCCCCGGCCCCGGGCCCCCTCCCGCTGCCTCCCGGCGCCGGGGCGGCGCCTCCCGGGCCTCCGGGGGCTCCCGGGGCTTCTCCTGGCGCGGCATCTGCTCCCGCCGGCGCTTCTCCTCGCGCGGCCGCTGCTCCGCGGCCCCCGGCTGCGCCCGCCGCTCCTTGGGCCCTCGGCGCGCGCGCGGCTCAGCGCCCTCCTCCGCGTCTCCTCCGGGCTGCCCTCGGGCCTTCTCTGCCGCCTCCCTGCTCCCGGGGCCCGCAGCGCGCTCGGCCGCCTCGGGCAGCCCCGCCGGCAGGGCCCGGGCGCGGGGCTCCGGCTTGGAGGGGAAGAGCAGGGTCAGGCAGAGCCCCGCGGCCCGGGCCACGCGCCCCGCCGCGCTCGTGTGGGGGAAGCGCTTACCTGGGGCAACTCTGCTTCCCCGGGGGCCGAGCTGGGGGGACCCATGGCTCGGGGGCCGGTGCAGGGGCGCTCGCCTCCCACGTCATGGAGTCTGGGGTGGGGGGGGAGGGACGCGGGTCAGTCTAGGGGCAGGGGCCGACCCCGCGGGCCACCCGGTCCTCATTCCTAGCGCCCCCGTGCTGGGGACGGGCCAGGGGGCCGGCTGGGCTCCATCGGGCTCTCCGAGCTGGACTCCGGCCCTCTGAAGGGGCTCCGGGTCTCTGCACTGGGGGTGCCCCTTCCCTTCAAACCTCCCTCATCCAGATTGCAAAACCATCCGTCATTGGCCTCGCTAGGCTGCAGGAATGCCCGATGAGCGAGGACGGTGGCGCTCCACGGGATGGGGTGGGGTAAGGTCTCCGCACCCGGGTTGGACTGCATGACTCAGGGGCGCGGGAGAGCCTCTTCGCCCGGAGGGGGTGCAGAAGGGCCACAGAGGAGGGGAACGGGCACGCACTACCCATCCTGCAGAGAAGCCCAGGCCCGACCATGGGGCACACGAGGGCCTTTCCTGATTAGGGGGTGCACAGGGCGGGGCAGGGAGAAGTAGGACCCCCGCACAAGACCCATCTGCGGATTTGAGGCTCCCAGACCCCATCCTTGGGGGTGCAGGCGCTTGGCGGGGGGAGTGGGCGCCCAGGCGGAGTCCCCTCTGGGGCTCAGGCCCCCGCTCACCGCGGCACAGCTGGACAGCCCAGCCCAGCAGCGCCAGCAGCGAGGCGAGCACCAGACACTTGTTGAGAGACAGGTCTCCCCAGGGCAGCTCCTCGCCCGCGCCTGGGGGCAGCGGTGGCTGCGGGGGTGGCGCCGGCTGCGTCCTCTTCCTCGCGGGGCTCCGGGGCGCTGTGGGAGCAAGTGCGGGGCTGAGAGCCCCCAGCAAAGTGCAAACCTGCGCCCCACACTCAGCTCCCCGGGGCTGGCTGTGCTGCGCACCCGTGTGGGTGTCTGGCAGCTTCACTGAGGTGCCGAGACCGGCTCGGAGGTGATTAGCCGGGGCTGGGCAGCACTTCAGCTGGCGCGAGGGTGCCTTAGCACAGCTCCCCTGGGGTTGGGTTAGCACAGGTGCCTTAGCACAGCTCCCCTGGGGTTGGGTTAGCACAGCTCCCCACACGCTGGCTCGGCTGGGACCCGCGGGCCGGCTCCCCACTCCCTTGGGACCCAAGGGCCCAGTCCACATATCCTCCCCTGCCAGTCCCTGCCCACCCGCCCCACCTCACCCTGCCTTCTGCGAACCCACTTGCCCCTGCTTTCATCTTCTCCTTCCCTGACCCCCGGGCCAGCGTGGCCTCAGGCTCCCGGTCTGTCTTCTTGAGCCCCGCCTCCGTGCCTCCTGCGGGGCGGCCCTCAGCCGCCGGCTCCTGGGAATCCTATGGGGAGTCCTGAGTTGGCCTTTCCTTGGAGGGACCCGGAACCAGTCCCGTGGGTGGTAGAAACCCACCCCCTTGGCCTGTGGGTCCCCAACCCCAGGGGTATCCTGGGCTAAAGCCCGACAGCCCCAGCTACTCACGGGGGGCCAGCGGCTGGAAGTGGCCTGTCTGGGCATCGCTGTCAATGGGAAAAGAGGGAGACTGAAGACGGTGGGGTCCCCCAGGCCAAGCCCACCCTCCTCTGGCGCTGTGTGGGGCAATGGGGGTGCCTTCTCCCGTGTCCCAGATTAGCGAGCAGGCAGGCTAAGAGGCGGCCCTGCCCGAGGCACGCAGCTTCACTGGCAAGCTGGAGTTGCACCCCCTCCATGTGACCCAACACCTGTGTTCCTGGGCTCCTTGCAGACCCCCCGGGCACTAATGGGCACAGAGGTTGGAAAAAGCAGCAGAACATAACCCACGTCCGTGTGCCGGTCCAAGTCCGGCCTCTGAAGGTGAGCCGCCTGCCCAGGGGAGAATGGGCTTCGTCCTGCCCACACCCCTGCAGGTACCTCGCCACCCGTCCTCTGGGGCTGGCCTAGGTGGGAGTCAGCCACTGTAGTGAGGTCCTTACTTGCCTGGCAGCCGCCCGGGACGCCATCCTCCAAGGTCCTGGTTGCCATGGTGTCTTCCTAGAAGGCCAGGTCCAGAGTCAGGCTGGGGTGGGGGAGCGTGGGGAGAGGTGTCTGGCGTTCACTGAGCCCTGCGGGGGGCCTGGCCTGCCTGGGGAAAGGCTCCATGCCCTCCAGCTGCACCGTCCCCACCTCCCTGCCAGCCCTTGCTTGTCCCGCTGCCCGGAGCCCCTTGCACACGCACGGGGCAGCCCAGCAGCCTGCCGGGTGCCTTCGCGGCCCTGCTCCTGCCCCACCTGCCTTGGGGCCCCTCCCTATAGGCCAGACTTCCCAGAGCCCCAGAACCCCTGAGCTTACGGCAGAGGCTGTGGGGGCCCGTAGAGGGCACGCAGACATCGCAAACCAGGAGCCCGAGCCTGGGGTCAGCTCATGTCTCTGAGACCAGGGACTATTTTTATCTGGTGCCTGAGGTCAGCAAGACACGCAGGCGCGCGGCCCAGCCTCTCCCAGGCCTTGGACCCAAGGGGTCTCCTCCTGGACCATCATCACCTGCCATAGCTGGAACCCAAGTTCTAAGCATTCGTGCTGGCAGCCGGGGCCAGCCGTACTCTGTGTGACAGGCAGGAGCGGGCCCCCGGGAGGCGCCTGATCCCACTCTGGGGGCCCCGCCTCCGCGCTGTGCCTTCTCCCACGGGGCGGGGAGACCGAGATCGGCAGTGGCCGCTTGATCAGAGGTCACGGAGAGCAGGAGGTCAAGCCCAAACCTGTCATCTTCCCAAAGCTTGTTTACTGGGGGGCCCGGCACCACTAGCTGCTAGCATTAGGGAACCCCTTTCCTGAGTAGAGAGGGGACCCTCCCCTGGGGCTGGGGCACAGCCGTGGGGAGGGGCCCAATGGGCAGATCTCAGTGTATGTGGCGGGGGTGGGGGAGTCACAGGAGTTGAGGACTCCCATCGGCCTCGGAGACGACCTCCCCAGCCCCTAAGGACCCCCATTTCTGCCTAGACCTCCCCAGCCCCACTTACCCTGCAGCCTCCGCGCCTGGACGGGATGGACGGGCTGGAACTCTGGGCGGGTGGCCTGGGACGGACAGCAGCAGGTGGCCGGTGGCAGCAGGCGAGGCCAATCAGCTCGGCAGCCAGAGCAAGAGGGGGAGGAGGGCCCCATGACTGGGCACTAGCTGAGGGGTGACCCCACGCCCACGTAGCACAGAGCCATGTCAGCTGGCCTCTTTGGCCCAGAAGCCCTTGCTTCCTGTCTCTGAGCCTTGGAAAAGGGGGTACCATGGATGACAACACCCATAAAATGTAGTTGCCAGGCCTTGCCTTTCTTCTCCCTCTGATTTGGTGCCAGACGCAGCAACAGCTCGACCAACTGAGTCCCTGTCCTCGGAGGGACTCTCCCCGTGCCTGGGCCTGTCCTGGACGTCTCTCGTCAGGGACTCACACCACGTGGCCTCGCGTGTCTGCTTCTCTTCCTGAGCATCTTCTGTGCAGGGTCCCTCCCGTGGTCACGAGGGTCAGAGCTGCCCCCCCCTTTCATGCTGAGTGATGGGCCCATGTGGGGGTCCATTGCATGTGTCCATTCACAGATGGCTGTTGCGAGTGCACCACTCTGCACACGGGTGTCTGTGGCTTCAGTCCCTGCTCTCCTTTTTTTAATACCGGTTTTGTGAGATCTGATCCATACGTCATACCCGTCACCTATAAAAAGCATAGTTTTTAATATTGAAGAGTTCAGATGGCCTGAGAGCTACGTAACAATGAATTCCATATAATATGGTTGAACTGGGCCTCCCTGGTGGCATAAGAGGTTAAGCACCACACTATGAAGCAATCCGCAGCCTCTGCAGCACGAGTTCGATCCCCGGCCGGCCAGGGAGCAACCCACATGGCACAGCAGGCCTCTCCGGTCTCTGCTGCTGCTCCCCGCAACAGTGTCTTTCGGTCAGTCTGCCTGTTCTGCTCCCTGCTCTGTCTCTGGTGAATCCTCTCACCCCCGCCCCCCCGCATCTCTGGGCTGTACCCAGCTCTTGTATGCATAAATAAATCTAACAGCTCCAGCCCTGTGAGTTCAGGTATAATCTTTTATATATATATATATATAAAAGATTTATTTTTATACAAGAGCTGGGGTACAGGCCAGAGGCGCAGGAGGGTGAGAGGATTCACCAGAGACAGAGTGGGGAGCAGAACAGGCAGAGTGACCGAAAGACACTGCTGAGGGGAGAAGCAGGCGTGACAGGAGAGGCCTGCTGTGTGATGTGGATTCTTGCCAGTCGGCCGGGATTGAACCCGCACCGCAGAGGCTGTGGACAGCTTCATAGCACTGCGCTCAACCCGCTGCGCCACCGGGGAGGGCCTCAGGTGTAATCTTAAAATACCACTTTGGCTGGTAATTACTACCATATCCATTGGTAGTTACCAAGATGGCATATAAATGCCATAATCACTTTCCACAGGGCCTGTCTGTACACACTAACCCTGACCAGGTAAAAAGCGACAAGCTTGCCTCTAAAGCACCAAGAGATTTTTAAATACTCCAGGTGAACTGTATATTTTAAAATGTGTAACAGGACCTGACTTCCATAATTTTAGGTCAGTGCCTCTCCATGAGGGCTGCCGCTGCTCGCAGGGGACCCTGGGTGATATCCCGGCACTTGTGTGATCGTGACATTGGGGGTCTCCCTGGCATCCAGCAGGTGGGGGCGGGGATGCTGCTCAGACCCCACAGTGCCCAGGACAGCCCCCCTCCCTCAACTAAGAGTTATCTGCCCCCAATTGGCAACAGTGTCAAGGTTGAGAACCCCTGTGTAAGCTGGTGGAGACACGATAAGGTATGAAATGCTATCGCAACAGAAATTGGCTACTAAGTTCTAGCACTTTGCTGGACCCGATGAAGCAGGGCCTGGGGCCAGTGTGGGAGCGCAAGACAGTGGCTCTGGAGTCAGAGACGCCAAAGGGACCCCATCAGTTCTCACTGTGGCGGTATAAGTTCAGCATCACATACCGGGGCACACCCGTCTCTGAGTGATCATGGGAACGGCTAGGTGAGGAAAGGTTTCTGCAGGACCTGATCTCGAGGCTGGGCTTCATTAGGGTCATGATCAATGACAAGTACTAGAAAAGCAATGTAAGGTTTTTCCAACACTGAACCCAACATACAGGCCTCCCAGGGAGACCTCCCGGGTTCAATTCCAGACTTCTGCAGTAATGCTAGTCAGATTTTTTTTTGTTGTTAAAGATTTATTTATGCCTACAAGAACTGGGGTACAGGCTAGAGGTGTGGGGGTGAGAGGATTCACCAGAGACAGAGTGAGGAACAGAACAGGCAGACTGACTAAAACACACTGCTGAGGGGAGCTGCGGGGAGACAGGAGAGGTCTGCTGCACCCTGTGGGTAACTCCCTGGTTGGGGATCAAACTCATGGTGCAGTGGCTAGTGACAGCTTGATAGTGCTGAGACTTAACCCCTCCGCCACCGGGAGGCCCCACGCTCCTCTGTATCTTTAGGTTAAAGAAGGCTGTGTAACAATACTCTCTCTGTCCACAACTGTGTTGTTGGCTCTCCTTTAGATTCTGTGTCCTTCGATGCTGAGCAGGGTGGAGTGTGCATTCCCACCCTCCCCGGTCTCAGTCTCCAGCTCTGAGAAAGGGTTTGCAGGATCCATAAGCTCAAGGTTCAGGGAGCCCCTGTGCCCCCACAGAGTATAGCACGTATGCCTCCCTTCACTCGAATCTCCAGGCCTGTCCTTGCCTGCTCACACACGTGTCCCTATGTTCCTACTGGGGATGCTGTGTTTGATGTCACCAGCCTATATGCCACCTCTTCTAGGAAGCCTGCCTGGATTAACCTCATGTAGGCGTCATCTGAGACTCAGCATTTCCTGGTACCTCTCTCACTGGGTGCTTCATCACAAATATTCCTTCCTTTACTCACTCATTCATTACTTGATTATTTTTTTAAAGATTTTTTTAAATTTATGCATCCAAGAACTGGGGTACTGGCCAGAGGCACAGGAGGGTGAGAGATTCACCAGAGTCAGAGTGGGGAGCAGAACAGGCAGATGACCAAAATACACTGCTGAGGGGAGTGGAGGGCGCGACAGGAGGTATCTGCCACGCCATGTGTGAATCTCCATGGCCGGGAATCAAACCTGCACTGCAGAGGCTGTGGACAGCTTAAAACCGCTGCGTTCAACCTGCTGCACCACCAGGAAAGCCCTCGTTACTTGAGTATTGATTATGCACTGTGGTATGGAGTACAGGCCTCAAAGACAACCCATGTCCTAGTTCCAGGACCAGGGGACACGTTACCACACGTGGCAGAAGGCACTTAGCAGAGGGGATGAGTTGAAGCCCCTGAGATGGGAAGGTCCTGGATTCCTGGGTGGGGGTGGGGGTGGGGTCCTCATGAGGGTCCTCATAGAGGGAGGAGGGTGTCCAAGGCAGAGAGTAGGGAGGGGACTCACAGCACGGCTGGCTGTGAGGACGCAGGAAGGGCCTGCTCCCGGGATGTGGAGCCCCTAGGAGCTGGGATAGGCGGGAGACGGGCCCCTGGGGCCTTGGTGGGGCAGCCTGCCCGCACCCTGGTTTAATGTAGCCCCATGAGGTCATGTCAGACTCTTGACTTCCAGGACCGTGAGATGACAAGGCACGAAATCTGTGATTTGTCCCAGCTGCGTCAGGAGCCGCACACGACGCCTGGAGCTCTAGGTGCTGGGGCGATGGACACACAGACACAAGCCCTGGCGGGGGTGTCCCCTTCTCCCATGGGGAGAGGGAGCAGCTGCGGAGGAACTGCTGTGATCTGAGCGAAGACAAAGCCCAGTGGGAGTGAGTCCCGGACGTCCGGGGAAGGTGCCCGGGCAGCAGGCACAGCCCTGGCACAGGTCCGGGGCGGGGCAGGACGGGCCGGCGCGTCCAGGAACAGGAGAGTGTGGAGCAGCGGGAGCTGGAGGGAGAGAGGCGGGAAGCGCTGGCGGGAGGGGTGGGGGGCCTGCTGGGCGGGGCCCTGGGCGCCTGTGGGCAGAGAAGGGGCAGGGTCTGGCT